TGCACTCGCATAGTGCTTCCTGCAATGGACTCTCTGCCCTCATCTGTTTTGTGCTCATCCCCTCTGCTGGACTCTAAGCTCTGCGAGGGCAGGGACCACGCATGCCCTCTGTATCCCCAGCTCAGGTGCCCGATAACTGTCTACTGAATGAATGAGCAAGTGAGTGACTATCTGCCTCTTAGGGTTCTTGTGAGGGGCATGGGTGAAGGTGGGGAAGCAACCACCACCATGCCTGTCCCACAACCCCCTCTGCTCCATGACGGACTGGCCATGGCCAGTGCACGCTGGGCACAGACAGGAGGATGGGTCCCGAGCTCTCTCCCTGTCACTAAGGCTCATTGAAGAGTACACCTTACGCAAGATCCCTTCCGGCCTCCACTCAGAAGGGATCACCACCCTCTCAGGCATCACAACCCTTTCATGCCTTTGGGGTCACCTGCTACCCTCTCCCCTACAGTCCGTGGTCTTCTCTGAGCCTACTATGCCCCAGGGGCTCTCACCCATATCATCTTGGGGGCCGCGCATCCCCACAGCTGCAGCTTGCAAGCCAACCTTGTGGATTCCAAAGCCCCTGTCCCCTCTGCTCTGCCTAGAAAGGCTGGCCCCTCAGTGGGGCTAGAAGGCCAGGAGAAGCACATCCCATACCCTTGGCTGCTCCAGCCCCAAACTCCTGGCTGACCCCAGATGAAAGAAAAGATGACACAGTGTCCCAGATCAGTTATTTCCTGGGAGATCACAAGGGTGGGGACTCGGGCACCAGCTGGGTAGCTGGGGCCAAGAAACCCAGGCAGCAAGTCCAGCTTTGCCTCTCACTCACTGTGACCTTGGGCCAGTCCCACCACCATCTGCGCCTCCTCTTCCACCCAGCCCTGGCAAGGACTTAGCGAGCCCTCCTAGAGGCAGGGACAGTGATCAGTCCTTTGGGAGGCCACAAAGGGGCTTGCTGGAGCTCTCTCGGATAAGCTCCCCGTGGTATACACAGAGCACAGAACAACACACAGGGNGCTGGAGCTCTCTCGGATAAGCTCCCCGTGGTATACACAGAGCACAGAACAACACACAGGGACACAAGTGAGGTGGGTGAGTCCTCTAGGAGGAGGCCAAGGGCTGGGGGAGGGGCCGGTGGGGATGTGGGTGGGGGACCCTGAGGCCGGGCTGTCCCCGGGGGTAGGGGGAACAGCTGGGGCAGAACAGGCCCTTGGCTTGCAGCAGAATCTGGGTGTTTCACGGGGCCAAGGTCCCCAAGTCCTCCCAGAATGACAGTGGCACTGAGCCCCAGGCTCGGGGATGGGGGGAAGGTGGGAAGACAAGGAAGAGTGGGTGCTCTGTGGTTGGCTGGCCTGGGCTTGGCCCTGCCTCCATCACTAGCTGCCTGAGTGACCCTAGGCCAGTGACCTTGACATCTCCAGGCATGTTTCCTGAACCATGAGTTGAGACAGTCCTGACACTCCTAGCAGTCTGCTGTGGAGTGGAGAGGGCTCTGGGTGTGACAGCCCCCAGTGTCCTGTGGTGTTCCCACTCACCCTGTGACTACTGCCCCATGCAGCCAAACTTCCCAGCACCGTCCCGGTCTATCTTTCCCACCATTCCTGCCTCTGGGACCAAGAGGGACTCCGCCACATCTCATCATTCCCCTTTCCAGGGACCATTTCTGCCTTTCGCCACCCAGGCCGAGCACAGGCCCAACACACAGTAGGCGCTCAGTGAATGCTCGATGACACGGTGAATGAATGCACACACCCTGGCCCCCACCCTCCAGGCCCCTGCTGGACACATGCCCTCGGACACACTTGTACACGTATGTGGACACCCAGCCCAACACCTGGCCACCCCGAGCTACCCTGAACCTCAGGGAACAACTCACATGAAGAGGTGCTGGGCAGGGCAGCCTGGGAGGGGACAGGGGGCTGGATGTTGGGGTGGGGGCTGGGGTGGAGGGCGCAGGGGCAGGGGCAGGCAGTCACTGTGGCTCAGTAGCCCTGCGACTGGTAGCCCTGGGGCTCAGCGTCGAAGGCGTTGGCCGGCTGCTGGTAGGTGCCGCCCATGCCGGCGGGGTCCGGCCCGGTGCTGGGCTCCACGTAGGGGGCGTAAGGCATGCTGGAGTCCTGGCTGGGGTCCATGTAGTCCTGGGAGAAGAGGGCCGAGTCGGCGCCAATCTGGTACCGCTGGAAGGCCAGCACAGCCTGGCCCGCCTGGGGATGGGGCCGGCGGGGATAAGGACAGGTGGGAGGGGACAGTTAGGGGAGAGACAGACAAGAGCACTGGGTTAGTGGCGGGTAGTTCACAGGAAACAGGCAATAGAGGGTTAAAGATCCTCAAAGCACCAAAGATGAAACCAAGCTTGACCGAGGGGAAGGATGTCCTCGCAGCCACTCTCGAGAAGAGGCCCCAAACCACATCCTCCAGCCAAAAAGAACTTCAGAAGTCATCTGTCCTATGTCTCCCAGTCCCAGAGGTCACCCTAGGCCACCAAATATTCTAGCTCTCCACTGTGGAGTTTTAAAATAACCCACAGCCTCCTTCTAAAACTGCGTTCTCAGAGGCGTTACACGGAATGAGAAAACAGTTTCTTAGTGCGACAGAGAACTGCTGACAGCTCCTAAAAGCCCTTCTTCTATCTCTCTTGCAGCTGGACGTGGTCATGTGACTAAGTTTTGGCCAACGGCGTACCCCATGTTCTTTGTCCCACCATCTGACCTCATGCCTGGAATGCAGATGTGATGGCTGGAGCTCTAATTGCCAAACTGGACCACCAGGACCATGAGCCAAATTGTAGGGACGGAAGAGGCCAGGGTCACTGAAGACCTCTGGAGCCATGCCAGCCTGGGATGGCCTCGCTGGACTCAGACTTTGTTTAAATCATTGTTATTTGGGATTTCTGTCACTTGCTGCTGAACCTAATTCTAGCTGAAACACTTGGTCATACAAGTTTGGGAAATTTTAAACAGAGTAAAACAAGTTTCAGGACCACACAACTTGTCAGAGCTTTGACTATTCAATGTATGCTGGATCCCCAAGGGAGAAACTATGGCAAAGCCACATTTTTTTTTTTTTTTTTTGCAGCTAGCCAGTTCAGGGATTGAACCTGGTATTATCAGCAGCACACTCTAACCAACTTAGCTAATCGGCCAGCCCCTGGCAAACAATGTTTGCCAACCTTATCTGACCACCGAAGAAACCCTTTTTTCAAAGAGTCCAGTTTGGGAAAGACTTGTCTACAGCACACATGCATAGTTAGAAAATTCTTTTTCTTTTTTTTTTTTCTTTTTTTTTTTTTTAAAAAGATGACCGGTAAGGGGATCTCAACCCTTGGCTTGGTGTTGTCAGCACCACGCTCAGCTATTGAGCAAACCGGCCATCCCTATATAGGATCCGAACCCGTGGCCTTGGTGTTATCAGCACCGCACTCTACCGAGTGAGCCACGGGCTGGCCTAGAAAATTCTTTTTCAATAAAAGCAATTATATTGTTATTAGACATAGACCACACAGAGCTAAGGATTAAATCAAACTTGTCATCAAAGAAACAGCTTATAGGTTTATCGTGAAAGCCTTTGCTAGAAATCTTTCCAGCCCTGGGAATCTGCCTGTGATGGAAAAATGCTAATGCTCTCCATACCCGTTTTTGGGCTGGGAAGACTAAGGCCTAGAGAAGGGAGGGTCCATGACAGAGTTAGTGCCAGAACCCAGCCAGAGCATGGGGGTCTTACCCCTTCCCAGGCCAGCCTCTCCTGCCCCCATACCTCCTTCCCTTTGACCAGCCCTCTGACAAGGCTCTCAGTTAACCAGGAACCCAAAAGGGCCACTCAGTGAAGAGGCAGGGAGTGAAGTATGTCTGGCGTTTTATTCCAGAAAGTTCCAGAAGCCTAGTGACTAGGCATAAACTTTTGTTCTGTGCTCACTGACAAAAGCTCTGAGGAGCAGTCCTTTCTGGGAAGTGGCTGTTTAAAGTAAAGTGCCAGGGGCCTGGGGAAGGCAGATTGGGCCTAAAGAAGTTGGCCTGGAGAATGCAGTATGGGCCTCTTGGGTGTTTCCACTAATTTGGTATGAAGTCCTGGCTGCTGGGGGTTAGACGCTGGAGCCTGAAGAAGCTGGGGGGGGGGTGAAGAGCTCCCTTGGGGCAGTCTTGAATCTTTGGCAAGCCTACAAGAGCAACGGGGAATGAGCGAGTGAATCCCCGAGAGCTTGCTTCTCCCAGAGCTCCCCGGCTAAGCAGAGGGCTGGAGAAGTTGACCTCTGTGGACCCTTCCAGGGAGGGGCCTTTGGCTTACAGGCACCTGGTACTGTTTCTGTGATCAGTCCTCTGTCCCCACTGAGGGAAGGCCTTCTTACGCCAACAAGTTCAAGAGGCCACAAGACAGGTGAGAGGAGGAGCCTGGGCCCCCGTGAGACTGGGCTGCGGAGGGGAGGCTGGGAGTTCCGCTCAGAGCCCAGAGACTGTATAGTCCACCTGGCCCCATTTTCTCAGAGCCAGTACTCTCTGCGGCATCTCCACTATGCAGCAAGCAGTCTGCACATGCATGCCCCTGCGTGCTCAGCCCCTAGCCAGGCTGAGGTCTTGCTCTGGGACCTGTTTACGCTCCACTGCTTCCTTAACTCCTGCAGAGAGTGGAGGGATAGGTGGGTTTCTGCCCAGGCAGGTAAGGGCCCCAAGGAGGGAAACTGTGTAGAACCAGAGGCCAAGGTCCTTTGGAAGAGCAAGAATTTACCACATGAGAATCACTCCCAAAGTAGACATTATGGAGATGACCGACTCCCTGGGAAGAACGGATGAATGAACGAAAGAGCTTACATTTACTGAGCACCCCTGTGCCGAGCCCTGTGCTGGCCTTTGTCTAATCTGGACAACAACCTTGAGAGGCTGGTCCGTCATCACCCTCCTTCCAGAGAAGTGAACTGAGGCTCAGAGAGGTGCTGGGGTTTGCTCTGAGTCATAGCACATGACAGCAGAGCTGGGCCAGGAGTCCTCTGACATCCTAAGCCGAGCCCCTCTTGGCAGCCAAGCCTCCATGTGGACCGTAAGATCATCCTTCACACCACAGCTGTCCACAGCTCAGCACCTCTGCCATGAACATCTCCTGGCAGCAGTGTAGGGAGCCACCTCCAAGCCTCTAAGCCTGTGGCAGTCCATTTGGGGTAGATTTTGACATGTTTGTTTTCCCCTCCCCAGCCTGTGGATTTCCGGGGCCAGGGGCTCCATCTAATTCATCACTAGGCACAAACAGCTGCTCGATAAATGTTTACTGAATGAATGAACGCATGAAGAATAAACAAAGGGGGCAATGAGTGGGTGGCAAATCTTAACTGGCTCCTCAAGCCAGCCTTCCACTGCCCTCCAGGCCCTGGCATCCTGGACACTTCTGGCAAAGCTGCTCCTGCCACCTCGCCACCAGATGTGACCTGGGGCTCCCTGCCTTTGCAAGCGGGGAGGCCTACGTCTGCGCCGAGGCAGGGAACAGTGTGCTGTATTCCTCCTGGAAGGTAAGGTCCTTGAATCTCTGCACGGCCAGGGCTGCGGTCAGGCTCTGCCAGGAGAGAGCAGGGGTGAGGCTGGTGGGGAAGAGCTGGGAAGGGCAGAGGTGCCAGCAGGGAGGCTGGCTCCAGTGAGCCAGGTGGGCACCTGTCAGTCAGATACTTCAGACCCGCCCCCACTCAGGGCTTACTGATCCCAAACTCCTCCCTGGGGGCAGGTGGTCCCTGCTTCTGGGCACCTTCCCTGGACTGAGATCCCCTGGAGTCAACTGGTTCTTCCTGCCCAGGCTTGAGGACAACAAGGGCTGGAGTAACCATGGCTGGCCCACTAGAGCCTAAACCATGGGTCCCCCCGTCCAAACTCTCCTGATATTTTACTAGGGGGAGGTGGGTGTCCCAGAAGAAAATGGATATCCGGAGGCCCTCAAAAAGAGAAAGAAGTCACCCCAGGGCAGGCCTAGGAGGGTGGGTGGCCAGAGCACGGAGGGCTAGCTGCCTGTATATAGCCTCAAGGGTCCAAGGACTACTGGAAAGCTTGGAGGAGAGGGGGCTGCAGATGGGGACATAGAGCTGATGTGACCCTAGATCTCCGCAGGAGGGAGATTAGGAGAAAAGAAGAGAGAGAGACAACCTAGACTGGTGGGGAGGAAGGGCCAGCCCTTCTGTCGTGCTGGTGGGCCCTTGAGACCACAAAGCCAGAGCCTGCAAAGGAGTGGTCACTGGCCAGTTGGGCCCACAGACATGCCTTCTTTGACCCGCACGATTTTTTTTTTTAACTTGAATAAATTGCCAACACATAGAGATCAGATTTCATATAAAAATTCTGGCTTCTCTGAGAAAACTGGAAGTCCTAGCCTCTGTAACAACAGGAGCCGAGCAGAGGGTGGCCTCTTGGGATAGCATGCAGAGGCCACCCAGCCCGCCCATGTGCTCTCGGGCCCTGTCTGGCCCATGGGTATGTGAGTTTGTGAGCCCCTCATCACGCAGTCGGGAATTCAGAGGCAAGCAAAATTAGAGGCGGCCCTGGGATGGGAACCAGGTCTTCTGACTCCTCGGCCTGGGCTTCTTCCCAGCCTTGAAGCCTCAACTTCCCACAGAGGCTTCTGCCTTCGCATCTGCACAAGGGAATAATAAACACCATCCACCCAGAGTGCTTCGGGGTGTCCACGACCCCCAGGAAGGCTGCTCTGCACCAGAGCGAGGGCCTGACATCACCGTGTGACTGTCCTGCTGGCAAAGGCCACCAGCCTGGGAGCATGGCTGGGGGGCAAGTGTAGGCTCAGTGGGCGGCTGTACTCACCCAAGTGAAGATGGAGAAGAAGGAGAAGGCAATGGCGGCCCTGGCTGCGTCCGTCCCTTCGTTCAGTGGGTTGTCCTCTGCCTTGGAGACCTGCCACTGGTTGGCCAGGTAGCAGAAACCCACGAACCAGAGGAAGGCCCAGAAGGCTGGGGGGTCCCCAGGGCCAGGCAAAACAGGTAGAGAGCCATGCACGGGGGAGAGGGTGAGTGTGGAGGAAACGGGGAAACCGAGGAACAGGAGGAAGTTCATGTCTCCCATGCTCCCCCACCCACAAAGGGAGAGGCAAAGAGGGAGAGGGGAGAGGAGCCAAGAGAAGGTGCAAGTGAGGACCGAGAAATCAGCCAGAGGCAGAGGGGAGAGAGAACACAGAGGGCAGGGCCAGGACCAGAAGGAGGATAGCCATGGGCAGTGAGAGAGTGGGAAGGAGGGAGAGACAGAGAGAAGAAGCGTCACCTCAGGCCGGGTGTCTCNCCTTCCACTGCCCTCCAGGCCCTGGCATCCTGGACACTTCTGGCAAAGCTGCTCCTGCCACCTCGCCACCAGATGTGACCTGGGGCTCCCTGCCTTTGCAAGCGGGGAGGCCTACGTCTGCGCCGAGGCAGGGAACAGTGTGCTGTATTCCTCCTGGAAGGTAAGGTCCTTGAATCTCTGCACGGCCAGGGCTGCGGTCAGGCTCTGCCAGGAGAGAGCAGGGGTGAGGCTGGTGGGGAAGAGCTGGGAAGGGCAGAGGTGCCAGCAGGGAGGCTGGCTCCAGTGAGCCAGGTGGGCACCTGTCAGTCAGATACTTCAGACCCGCCCCCACTCAGGGCTTACTGATCCCAAACTCCTCCCTGGGGGCAGGTGGTCCCTGCTTCTGGGCACCTTCCCTGGACTGAGATCCCCTGGAGTCAACTGGTTCTTCCTGCCCAGGCTTGAGGACAACAAGGGCTGGAGTAACCATGGCTGGCCCACTAGAGCCTAAACCATGGGTCCCCCCGTCCAAACTCTCCTGATATTTTACTAGGGGGAGGTGGGTGTCCCAGAAGAAAATGGATATCCGGAGGCCCTCAAAAAGAGAAAGAAGTCACCCCAGGGCAGGCCTAGGAGGGTGGGTGGCCAGAGCACGGAGGGCTAGCTGCCTGTATATAGCCTCAAGGGTCCAAGGACTACTGGAAAGCTTGGAGGAGAGGGGGCTGCAGATGGGGACATAGAGCTGATGTGACCCTAGATCTCCGCAGGAGGGAGATTAGGAGAAAAGAAGAGATAGAGACAACCTAGACTGGTGGGGAGGAAGGGCCAGCCCTTCTGTCGTGCTGGTGGGCCCTTGAGACCACAAAGCCAGAGCCTGCAAAGGAGTGGTCACTGGCCAGTTGGGCCCACAGACATGCCTTCTTTGACCCGCACGATTTTTTTTTTTAACTTGAATAAATTGCCAACACATAGAGATCAGATTTCATATAAAAATTCTGGCTTCTCTGAGAAAACTGGAAGTCCTAGCCTCTGTAACAACAGGAGCCGAGCAGAGGGTGGCCTCTTGGGATAGCATGCAGAGGCCACCCAGCCCGCCCATGTGCTCTCGGGCCCTGTCTGGCCCATGGGTATGTGAGTTTGTGAGCCCCTCATCACGCAGTCGGGAATTCAGAGGCAAGCAAAATTAGAGGCGGCCCTGGGATGGGAACCAGGTCTTCTGACTCCTCGGCCTGGGCTTCTTCCCAGCCTTGAAGCCTCAACTTCCCACAGAGGCTTCTGCCTTCGCATCTGCACAAGGGAATAATAAACACCATCCACCCAGAGTGCTTCGGGGTGTCCACGACCCCCAGGAAGGCTGCTCTGCACCAGAGCGAGGGCCTGACATCACCGTGTGACTGTCCTGCTGGCAAAGGCCACTAGCCTGGGAGCATGGCTGGGGGGCAAGTGTAGGCTCAGTGGGCGGCTGTACTCACCCAAGTGAAGATGGAGAAGAAGGAGAAGGCAATGGCGGCCCTGGCTGCGTCCGTCCCTTCGTTCAGTGGGTTGTCCTCTGCCTTGGAGACCTGCCACTGGTTGGCCAGGTAGCAGAAACCCACGAACCAGAGGAAGGCCCAGAAGGCTGGGGGGTCCCCAGGGCCAGGCAAAACAGGTAGAGAGCCATGCACGGGGGAGAGGGTGAGTGTGGAGAAAACGGGGAAACCGAGGAACAGGAGGAAGTTCATGTCTCCCATGCTCCCCCACCCACAAAGGGAGAGGCAAAGAGGGAGGGGTCCCCAGGGCCAGGCAAAACAGGTAGAGAGCCATGCACGGGGGAGAGGGTGAGTGTGGAGGAAACGGGGAAACCGAGGAACAGGAGGAAGTTCATGTCTCCCATGCTCCCCCACCCACAAAGGGAGAGGCAAAGAGGGAGAGGGGAGAGGAGCCAAGAGAAGGTGCAAGTGAGGACCGAGAAATCAGCCAGAGGCAGAGGGGAGAGAGAACACAGAGGGCAGGGCCAGGACCAGAAGGAGGATAGCCATGGGCAGTGAGAGAGTGGGAAGGAGGGAGAGACAGAGAGAAGAAGCGTCACCTCAGGCCGGGTGTCTCCACCCTCTGCCAAACACCAATTCCCAGCTACAGCCCCGACTCAGGCCCCACAGTCCACCCCCGAGGCCGGCAGCTCCCCAGGGAGGAGGCTCCCACCCTGCCCTACCACAGGCTTCCAGAGAACTGGGTGAGGGGAGGAGGGTGACAAGATGGGGCAGGGAGGCAGGTCAGCTTGGGCAGGGCTGGGCCTCAACTTCTAACGCACTCGTAGCCTCCCAAAGCCCCCAGATTTAGTGAGGAGACTTTGAGAGCTGAGGTCTGGGGGCTTTAGTAGTGGAAGCTTCATGACCACATGATCTCTTGTGGGTGCCTGGAGTCTGCCCAGAGAAGCCCAGAGCTGCTCAGGATAAAATGCGTGTGTGCCAAGATGGTGGGGTGCCTGAGGCCCAGCCCACCTCCCACAGGCACCGCTGGAGAACCCTGGGCTCCCTGGAAGTTTGAGGACCACTAACTTAGTTCTAGTTCCTTCTGGTCAGAGGGGCCCTGGTCTCACTTCCTGCAGTCAGCCGGGCTCCTCCTGAGAGCCTCAGGTCTGGAAGTGGTGGGAGGTCGCAGCCCAGAGGCCTGAGACCTCAGCCTCAGCTCAGTGAGCTGCAGTCCATGGTTCCCACCCCTGCTGAAAGCATCTGCCAATCAGATTCCTACAGCTCATGGGGCAGAGGTCAGGGTGGCTCTGCCAAAGGCCATTTCTGAAGGGAAAATGGCAGCAGGTCATGTCAGCTCCCCAGTTCCAGGCCCCGGTGCTGCCTAGGTCCGGCTGGGGAGGTGGAAGGGGAGACTGAGGCTCCCAGGGCACCTACTGTGTGCTAGGTGTCCAGTCACCCCCTTGCTTAGTGCTCCTGAGGCTCACCAGGGAGGTGGCACAGAGGGGCCCTCTGCTCTAAGGGGGACTTGCTGGGGCGGGGGCTCACCTGAGACGCCAATGTCTGACAGGACGGCTTTCTTGCGGTCCTTGACGCTGCTGATCTGGGGGAAGTACACGTCCAGGGCCAGGTAGAGGAGGCAGGTGAGGAAGGCGAGCACGCCCACAGCCACGCCGTAGCTGCAGGCATTGGCATTGCGGTTGTAGATGCAGAACTTCTCGCCCTTTGAGGAGCTGTTGAGGTAGCCCTCGTTCACGATGGAGCCGAACACCACGATGGAGAACAGCTGCGGGGGTTGGGGGGCAGGCATGAGACTGGCAGGCCCCCACCCAGTACCAGTCTTGAGGGACGGGAGGCTGCCAACAGCCCTCAGCCTGCTGTCTGCCCCTCTGTGAGCCGCAAGGCCGTTTTAAGCAGGCATTTCAGGGGGAAGCCCAGAGAGGGAGAGACACTTGCCTGGGGTCACATAGCATAGGTGGGGTTAATCACCGCTTTCCTTAGACTCAGGCACTAAGGACCCTCTGACCACAGATGTGGCCCCACCCTCTACCCCCAGCCAGGTCCTGAGAGGTCTTCCTGGGCCCTGACACCAAGATTTCCCAGGACTGGACCAAGTCTCTCTCAATGAGGGGCCATGGGCCCTCCTGGGCTGTGACCCTTCCAGGTCTTCACCCCCAGAGGCTGATCCTCCGGCTGCTGCATGTGCCCAGCCCCATCTTGTGCACCCCTCCCTCTGAGGAACCATGGGCTGGTTTGGGGTCTCAGGCCCTGTTGCCTGAACTATCCAGGCCCCGGCAAGTGGCAGAGTGAGGAATGAAAAATTAATGGCAGGTGCATTCCTGCCACATGCAGGACACCCTGCACGATCCCAAGTGTATGACACATGCTACCGCATTCATCCCCGCATGACCTCTGCGACAAGTGATTTCAGTTGGGCAGGCAGCCAGTGGGGATGGCCCTAAAGACCCTCCTCCTGCTATATTTTTTTTTTTTCTTTTTTGTCTTTTTTCGTGTCCGGCAACGGATCGCAACCCTCAGTG